TAATGTACAGTCATTTGGTTGCTGCAGTGTTTTCCATTTGGAACATTTTAGCGATTCTATATCACATACAGCATGTCTGGTTCCTACACTTTTTCGTTGGACTACATAACTATGGAATCAAGCTTATAATGTAGTGATGGTTACAGCTAAACATGATTACAACATTTCAACACTAATCGATTATTTTGAGACGCATTTACAAAGTTAAATTACATTGCAATACATTACGGGATTATTAAATCCAACCAAACATGTTGTTAGTTCATTTATAATGGAGTGTTGTTTGATGCATGCAGAACCAGACTGTTTCTGAGCTGAAGGACTTCGTTAAAAAGCTCAATTCGTTGCCAGAAATTTCTGTAATTCTCTTTTTCTCAGTCTCTCTCTCTCAAAATTGAAAAAGTGGACTCAGTGAATAAGATTTTAATTTGTCTGTTCTATCAAAAAAGACTTTAATTTGTTGGTGATCATTTCTGTAGAGGCACATAAATCTTGCTCAACATTTATCAACATTCACATCAAAGCAGTCGTTTCTTGCGCAACTTGACATGGAACACACAATTGTTGAGGCTCAGAGTTATGACATGTAAGCTAAATTCATTCTTCACCATTTCTCATGAGGTTATGTTGGGATTTAGGGAGCATTGTTTCACTGAAAGCCACATGTCAACTGTTTGGTAGAAAAAGAAGTGTTACTCTCTATCACAAAAAAAAAGGAAAAGTTTTACTGTTAGCAAGGCCCCAAGGGCGTGCAGTTGTTAATAGATTTATATTTTTTATTTTTTTTAAAAAGGCACCAAGGGCGTGCAGAGGTCATGTTGCTGGTAGTACTTGCACATAGAATTGTATTTTATATGCTAATGACCAGAATTGTATTTTATATGCTAATGACCTTATGTTTTGTTACTAATTTAGTCTTGTAAGTTGAAAATGAATATATATATTTCTTAGATAGGAAAAGAAATATTATTAGTAAAAGGAGTTGAAAGTGAAAACTGAGATTGTGTCTAATTTAGCTACACTAATCCTTTTTATACTTAACTCAACTTACTGTTTTTTGGCCTTTAAACACCTGTTGTTTTATGTTCTCTACTCATTTATTTATTTGTGTAGTGGGAAGGAGAAGTTCGACTATAATTTATATTGACTCACCGAAGTTTCATGCTTTCTCTGTCTCCTTACCGAAAGAATAACTGATGTGGTCGCCTTGCCACTAAGATTCTATTATTAAACCTTGCAACTATAATTTGTGAATGCAGATGCTTTGAGTACATTGAAGAAATGATCCATAAACAGGAGCCTTTTACAAACATTCTACGTCTTTTAATCCTATTTTCTGTTACAAACTCAGGGTTACCAAAGAAACACTTTGACTATTTAAGGCAAGTTTTGCTTGCATAACTTCAATTTGAATTCTTTTGGTTATGCACATCTCTGATTATAATTCACTTATTGTATTCATGGTATAGGAGGGAGCTTCTCCACAGTTATGGATTTGAGCACGTTGTTACATTGAACAATTTAGAAAAGGCTGGATTGTTTAGAAAACAGGTACAAATGTTCTCTTGTCCTTAATGGTTTTAGATTATTACATGCTCAGGTACTCAGGTCAAGACTTCATCTTATTAGTGAATTTGTTATGTTGTTCTTCTCCTTGCAGGAAACAAAAAGCACGTGGCTGACAATTAATCGTGCTTTGCAACTTGTAGTTGAAGATACCGACACTGCTAAGTATTTCTTCTCATCCATGCGATTCGCTTCTGATATTACAAATTTTCATTGATGTTTGTTACTGGGATCTGGTTGGAGTATGTCTCTTTTTAGCTGGGAGCTCTGGATTTGTGATTAATGTGATATGTGGCTTGACTTATACATGTTGCTTGCATTAAGAGTGATTTAGAGGAGACTGTTATAATATATTTTGATGATTAGCGCACATTTTCCATATGAATAATTGACGAGACCGTGATTTGCTCATAAGAAATTAGCAAAAAGCATGTGGGTTTTCTAGTTGCTATATATCTGATCCCGTCAAAACAGTTGATTTGGTGTGACCTCTTGTTCTCACTTTGCTTTTGCGCTGCAAATTAATTGTTTTGGATTCCTAATTTCTTGAAAATCTTTAAAATGCAGAATCTGTGTCTTCCTGTTTATGGGTATAGGAGACTTCTGTATTGTAATACCTTAACTGCTTTATATTTTGCTCAATTTATGAAGTTCTTTAATTGCATGCGGACTTTTTTGGCAACAAATTTGGTCAGCAGTGTCATCTGTGATGGAAGAAAGTACTATATTAGGACTAAACACTGTCTTCTTTCTGAAACTAAGAACGATTAGATTCTATTTAATGTGTTTGGTGACTGGTCATGGTGGATTTCAACATTTTCTCCTTTTTTCTCTACCGAGACAATATGTGCTGGTTCTCAAAAGTTGAATCTAGTTGTGAACTAGATATGACGGGCCTAGAATTGGTAATGGATGGTTCTTCAATCAAACTCTTACGGACAATGTTGTGGAGCTTTAATAATGAAGTCACAAGCTTTCCTATAAACAAAATGAAATTCACAAGCTTTCTTATAAACAAAATGAAAGTCACAGGCTTGGAAGAAGGGTTTTGCTGGTTAAATATTGGGAAGGTCATGGAAGTTAGATGGTTAAGTTAAAGCTTCTGAGATGGTGTATCTTTGGGTGTGTATACAAGTGGGTGGACTAGTGTGAGAGGAACTTTCACTTTAACATGGTGATTGAGGAAAGAAGGTTTTCTTTGACATTGTGCTCTGGGGTGTTTCTAATGGATTTTGCCAAATTTTTGTGCCATAACAGAAGTTACATTTTAATGGTTGGTGACTCTCAATTGTTAAGCTGTAATCTGAAGTATTGAAGATCATTTATGGTTCTTTGTGGGTGCAGATTGTTTTTCTCACACCAAGGTGTCTGTTAAGCAACTATTCCTTCAAGGTCTTTTTGGTTAAAAGGGGTAAAATCACTTTGCATCTGTGCATGGTGTAAACATAGTGAGAAAATAGTAATATCTGTTGAATCATTGTCCTGTTGCTTGGAGTACTTTTGGAAGATCCCTTGGTCAGGATTCCAATGGATTGCCCAGGAGGAACAGATACATTGTTAACTTGGAAATTTGGAGGGGATGAACCAGAGACGGCTGTAAAAGGAATGAACAAGTATTCATCTTGTCTGGATAGCGTGGAAGGATTTGGAAGATGCTGATCTCTTTCAGGATCATCATTTGCATTTTCTTTTTTTTCTTCTTAAGTTAGCTAGGTTAGGCTGACTTCTTCATCCTAAGTTCTCTTTGTTTCATTGTTCTTTATTCCATGGGATCTCTCGTGCATTTCTTGTTTATAAGGGCTGCAAGTTCTCTCTTCATTTTTCCTTGCATTATAATGAACCATATATCTTCTTCAAGCAGACTTGTGTACATAATTTATTCAATTTGTG